GTTTATGTCTTTGAGCTTCCCCGCGCCTTTTCAACGCGTGCGGATTTGCCTTTTGTTCCTTTATGGAGGCGAATCTGCATCGCAAAATGGCAGTTTGAATTAAAGCAGAAAAAAATAACGACGTGTTAAATTACCCTAAGGCAAAATACTATTTGTTTTTTATTGCAAAAAGAAAAGAATGGGACTACAAACTGTTGCTAGAGCAGGTTCAAAGCAAATAAGAGCATCTGGCAGTAGATTTAAGAAATAGAAATGTTAGAAGGACAATTTTCAAGCACAGTATCCAATCAGAACAGAATGAGACCTCATTTGGGTTGCCAGTTTGGTAGATGAAATTTAGCTGGTTTTAGTAGACAATTGGGATGCAAGCTAGCAGAAGCCCATTTTCTTGGTTATTGGTTTTGACGGCGTTAGCTTTACCCTAGCAAATAAAGGCATCAAATTTGGCAATCCCTATGGCTCATTGGAATTTAGCAAGACAAAATATTGTAAATAGAGGTTGTTGCTTGATTGTATAGTTATGTTTATATATGTATAAGTATATACTGTAAGCAGAGAAGGCAACATGTATAATGGGTCATGTAAACTAAGGAATGTAAATATTGTAAATACTTGAAAAATCAATTAATCGATATCAACGTATGTAAAACACAGATTTTAAAGCCTTAAATGGCGAGTGTGACACAAATGATTACACAGCTAGTTCACTTTTGATCAGTCAATGAGAACCAGAGCTAGTGTGAGCAAAACTTACACCCTTATTACTCTAATGCCCCCCTTGACACCACTAAACAGGCTCCTATCACTGCACTGCCGAACGGAATGTTTCAAGAGAACCTTCGATCTTTCGGCTATCAGACTGTACAACAAACCTGGATGAGTCTTTTGCTGTTGGACACCTGAATTTCACCTACGAAGGATCAATAAAGTATCTATCTATCAATCTATTACACTAATATTACACAAGTACAACCCTACTACACTACTTACAATAAACAAAAACAAAGTACCACCTAACACTAAAAACATCCAAAACACTCAAAACAAATTTAAAAAAGGAAAAGTACCACTTGTAGTTCAGCGAATACTGCAAATTCTTCAAAGGTTATAAGCACCAAAAGTAATTTAAAAAAGTATTCATCAAAAGAATTCATAAAAACAAAAACGTTCTAAGTATTTTAAAGTTCTGCATTACTATACAACTTAGAAGTATACAAACTGATTTATATTGGATGTGCTGTTGTGTTTGGTGTCTCGCTTCTGTCATCACCGTGTGTGGGGAGAATGGAAAAATATCAGAACTCTCAACTATTGTAAAGGGCTTTGGGTGATCTTGGTCTGTAAAATGCACTATATAAATTACTTACTTACCACGATAAAGTTTAAACTCTTAAAAAGATCAGAAACGTTAAAAACCTACAATATAAAAAACAAAAAAGCAGTCATTTTAGAGCTGCCTTTTTATCTACAGGCTTTGATTCGAACATTCTGTAGAGAGAAGAACAAAAATATTACTTCAATAGAGTTCAAAGTCTTTTTCAGGGATCTACCAAATAATTTATGCAGCTCAAAACATTAAGTTCAATAGAGGCTCGATATCCGATGCACCTGCCGACTCACTGTTGGAGGCCTGTAGCTGACTCCTTCGATTCAGGGCATCCGCCATAGCCTGCCAATAAGATTCTCAATACGCATGATACATACAGGGGGCTTTCAATAAATATTGGATGCACATATTTCTTAACGATATGACTCAGGAAAAAGAAAGAAAAAGGCCATTTGTACCCTTTTCTAATGCTTTGTTTGAGCAAAAATACAACACTGAACGAAATAAGTCTGACTTGCCAAAAAACAGTGATCATTGCTGTCAAAAATAGATGTTCAAGGCACCAGTGACCGTGTGAGATAAAAGTCCTTCATTGAAACATGGACAAATCGAAAAACACTATTGATGCAATTATATCACTTTAAAAAAAAATCTATATTTATATCTAAAATACATTTTGAAACAAACCATGTTTTCTGAACAAAATAATAAGATATCAGGAAAAAATAAATCCAGAAATAACAGAGAAATAAAAACCTGAACTTTATTAGGTAAAACAATTTTTTATTTTTTTATTTAGGTATTAATTATTTATATATTTTCATCTTCCCTAGAGATGAAGAATCTCATTTCCGAGGGGGTTCTCAAAACATGATACATGACATGATACAGTAAGGCAGACAGTAAAGCAGAGAATAATATTATAATTATTATTATAATTATATTATAAGGTAGCTCAATTTAAAAATATTGGTCATTACAAAAGTGTGTGTTTGTCATACATATCTTTTGTTTTACATTTTTCTTTAAATGTTTTAAAAATCAAATAAATGAAACTTAGCTCACACCCAACTCTACAGTTCATACTTCACTTTATCACAGCCTGGTATGTGATCATACTGTAGCGTAACAAGAAAAGCATATGGTTAAATGGATAATAATTTTACTCCCCGTTTGGCCTTTGAAGTGGACATACAAACACGTGTAGTGTGCCCGGGCCGCTCCGCAGCCCACAGCCTCTCTGCTCAGTGTTTGAGTGGGCCTCATAAATCCATGTGTGTAATAGAGCAGAATGGTGTGTTCTGGAGCTGTCTGTTCCATTCAGAGCTGACACTGGCCCTCTCCTGGCCTTATACCTGCCCCGGCCTCTGATGTGGGCCTGCTGTAAATTGACTTGCCTCTTCAGCTTTGACCCTGATGCCTGATGTAAGACCCAGACACGCGCACTTCAAAGGAAGCCGAGGGGCGGGAGAATGGATTTCTATTTTGAAAGAAACATTGACTTCAGGCGCTCAAGTGATGAGACATCCAGCTTGAGGTATTCCATGTGTTTGGAAAGAAATGTACGATGATTCCAAATTATAAAGCATTAATATAACCTTTTATTGACTTAACTGCAAGTATTTCAGCATATAGTTTATTTAAATGAGGACAAACATTCTATCAAGGCTGATGTGTTTGTGTGTTTATATTGTATGTGGTACACAATGTCTGCTGTCTGCTTTGGGAAGGAGCCATCCCATCATATATATCAGTTAATTTAGTAACTGTTTATTAAGAATTAAATTTAAAAAAATATATACATATATATATTTATGTATTATATATATCTACCTATATACAAAATACTTTCTGCTCAGATAGTGGCCGATAATTGCCAATGATAACATGTTATTTTTGAGTGAGAAAGCAAAGGCTTCTGCAGGAGAGATTCCCATCACGAAACACAGTGACACTTAAGCAATTGGGAAGACATGAAAGTGTATTGAACTGTGGGTGGATTTTGAGCAAACTAAAGCCTGAGAAGGAGGCCGTGTGCAGCCCCTCCCTCAAGTCCGTGTGCAGTATCCGTATTTTAAATTTCATTTCTTTGTTTAAAGGTCCAAGCACATTGCCCTTTATTTAAAAAATAATATACAGACGCATGCACACAAGCGCACGAACACACACACACAGGCACACACACTCACAGGCACACTGGTTCTAGGCCAAAGTAACCTAAATAGCAACAATCTGAATAAATGTCAGCTTTTCCTCACTTTAACAACACTCTCTCTAGCACTATTGCCATCGACATTTCCAAACAAGTGCAGTAACTTTGGATGAGCAATAAGATCTGAAACAAAGGGTGAAATTGTATTAGGTAATTTGTGAACAAACATTATCAACTTAAAGAGATCCCCTACCTGTTGCTTCCTCTTGATTTTTACTCCACTCATGCTGTCACTGTCACATGATTTGGTATCTTTCGATTCAAAAGCATCTTGATAATAGAGATCTTTAGATATGTCGATTTTTGCCAAAGCCCTAAAATAAAGTTTCCAGTCATGGATTAAAAGAGGTGAGTCACACAATCTGCTGGGAAACATTTACGTCGCAACTCTTTTTTACAGCTCTGCATGACCAACACTGACAATAGAGATCACAATGTTTATCTAAAATCCAATTTGTCAACAATTACCATGCCCCAGTTTTGGCCAAGATGGTATTTTAGCTCTGCAGTGGAAGTCTGTTTTATGTTTGCTATGATTCACCTGAGCCACTTTACAGAGTAATTAAAAACATGGCGAGACTGCCGCCCCCACATCACAGGCACCGCTGCCAGCGCATGTACAGATGTTAGCTCTCATCTCAAAGACAGAACTGCAAGTAACCCTTTGTAAAGGAGATTCGAAAAAGACGTCATACAAAATAATAGCTAAAGATATTTATTATAAAATCTATAAAAATAAAAACCCATTTAGTGGTGACATGTTTGAAAAGGATATTTTCGCCTGAACAGTGAACATTTTTCAGAGATGCCAGAGCCATCTCCTTGAGTCAGCTGCAGCGCTTGTTTGTGGGGTGGAAAGCATTTTAGCTGGATCCACACTGGGGATCTCCACACAGAAGGCTCAGGATACAGCAAACCCCAGTATTATACAGCTCCCTTTGAAGAGGGGGAAATACCAGCTACGTTTACCCAGAAACAACCACCTCAAACTGTGGGTTTACCTTCATATTTATTTCTGCTTGTCCAAATGAAATGAAACACAAGACAAATGCAAACATACATCATGCACAGACTGGTGTACTTGATATTTCCTATACTCTCATGCACACATGGCAAACCGCATCCTCAGCCTCACCACTAACTCGACTGTAACTGTGCTCTTGTGCTAATGTGCGGCAGGCGCTGTGGAAGCAGCCCAGCTTAGGAGCCTGTGGGTAAACAGAGCAGCAGCCACCTGTGAGGCTGCTTCCCTGGCCCAGTGCCAGAGCAGCAGATATGAAAGCTGTACCTGAGTGGGCGTCTCACTCCTGCTAACGTCCTGCACACACACTCTGTTATAGAGCAGGGTAATTCTGTTGGCCACATGAAAGCGGGAGGCGGTGGGCAGGGTGCCAGCTTGTGCTACCTGGAGACAAAGAGCAGCACCTCTGGGGGGAGCACATGCTGATGGATGGGGCCTGTTTATGTACCACAGGAGTATATCTGAGCCTTCCAGCGCTCCCAGCACGCTGCTGCTCCGCAGTCTGCAATTAATCTCTCCGACATCAGGCCTCCCCCCAGGGGCAGATCTGTGAGCTGTGATCTGAGCAGCGGCGCAGCAGGGCCTGAGGCGAGGGGCGGGCGCTCACGCTGCACCAGAAGATCTCCCAGCTCCTCACCTGGCCCGCACACTGATGTGAGATTAGCTCTAATCAGGGCCTAATGAAGTGGAGAAACTCTAAGTACTGTCATGACAGCCATCAGTATCAACAGAACTCTCATTATTTTAAATTCAATAGAGCTGACAGACAGTACCATCTTTATATCATGTCCAAGTATTGAGAAAATCCTAATCCTCTAGATTTAAAATGGCTGTGTTTGCATTTCAAGAAGATACATCTTGACATGATAAACCATTTGGAGATTACTATGTCATGTACAGACATCAAAAACGTTAAGAATGCAGATCTTTCCTAGTTATATTTAATATGTTTGGCTTCACTACTTGTTTTGGGTTGTCATATTACTCCTTACTGTATTGTATTTTGTCTGTTTTTACCTGTTTAAACTGTGAAGCGCTTTGTGGCCTTGCTCTGTGAAAGGCGCTGTATAAATAAAGCTTACTTACTTACTTACTTACTCCTGCCCTTAACTGCGCCTGTTTGGTGTGTGTGTCTGGGCTGAAACATGACAGCGTCACTCATGTCTCCACAAGGTGCCAGAGTGATGACATGAGCTGTGTGTCACAGTTAGGCCTGTGTTGTACTTTCCTAATGATATGGGGGGCACATGTGAGGGGAGGAGGGGGTTACTTATCTCTACTGCTCCACTGCATTTCTCTTAATTAAAACTCCTATCTGTGTCTTTGAAGTTCGTAATGAGTCAGTTTGGTTACGCCAAAGGAGACGGGAGAAAATAAGGCCAGGGCTGTTTTGGATATATATTTATTATGTGCCGCTTTCTCCGCCTCCTGATTCCTTTTTGGTGAGCCAAAAGCTTGTTGCTAGAGTAAAGGCCATTTTTGTGCTCATTTCTGCTTTTTATTTATTTGTGCTATTTACATGTGAAACAACCTGAAGCAACGGCTCTACCAATCCAACTGATAATAAGCAGCTCGCGTTTGCCATTTTCATTTTGGGATGTGAATTGGTTTAATCTTATCACTAGCTGGTCCTGATCTCTTGCCACATACACATAGAGACACTTAAAGGGCTTTTAGATTACAGTCAAATATTACAGGCCGTGACCAATCTCCAATTAACCAAATGTTATAGTGGTATAGTATCACCCTCGGCTTCTTACATGCTCCTTTAACGCCTTTTTATCACATTTTTTCCACTTATATCCTCCTTATACAAGCTTAGCCTAAATAAATCAGTCTGCTGCTAATGTATTCTGAATCAGGGCAAATAATTGAAGCTTGAATATTGTATAACAAATGACTGCGTTGCATTAGAAAGGCTACATTTTAGTATGTGTATTTGTTTGCATGTATGTATTGTGTGTTAGTGTGTGCATGTGTGTATACTTGTGTGTTTGTGTGTCATTTTCTGAACACCAGCGCTTTTCTTTTACTGTATCATTCATTTATAACGTCTCAATTATTGTGTTAGAGTCTGGAGAAACTGTTACAAATCTCACTTGCGTTCTTAAAACCTTAGGACTGTATATTGTCCACTATATAATTCTAATCCACATTTCATAAAATTAAAATAACTTAAACTGCAAGATTTGATTAACGTTTATTAGAGATGCTCACCATAATTACCATAGTGACTAAGAGGAAGGAAATAAAAACTATAGAAGCACTTCAAAATCAACGTGTATCTGGTTGGGAGTTGGCTCTCTTACAGATTAATAAAGTTATCACAATTATAATCCTTCAATGCCAATGTGCCTGTTTGTAGATCGCAGACATAAACACACACACATGCACCCACACCTGCCCGCACACACACACTTATATACAGTTTATATATTGTAAAACGTTGTCTGACCACTGGGGGTATTAAACTATACTATTTAAGCCAATCACAGTCAAAGGCGAGGACACATGAGCGAGTCTTCCTGACCGACTCGTCTTCAGCCCCTCACACTGTCACTGCCACATCTTGGAGTCGGTCCATCTATCCCACATCTCCGCTCCTTTTCAACTGTGGACAAAAAGCAGCAGCAGCAAACTCTAATGATGACATTGTTTTTAGTCTAATATAGCTCATGTGGACTCACCACCTGCAGGAGGATCAGTGAGGGGCTGGTGCTCTGTGTACTGGGTGCATCTCTGACTGCCACCCCCCCGACCCAGAAATGGATTAAGGGGAAGAAAATGGATGGTTGGACGATAGTCTAATATTAGATTAGCTGTTTATTTGTTTTGTTCATGAGACAATTTAAGTACAAACTCTTAGGATCAGACTACAAACAGCTAAGCATTGAAATAGTCGATCCAAAATGCACAAATGGTTGGGTTTACAAGACTTTTAGTTTAGTTTAGTCTTTATTTGAGTGGGGCAGTCCCGAGCCTCAGGTGTGTGCTTTTTACACATTATCACACAAACTGCCTCTACACCAGACAAACACATGAATTCATACAGTGTTTGTGACCAAATATGTTTCCTATACACATCATATACGTATTGCATTGAATTGATTGATGCACTTTGATTAATCGTACATACAAGTATACATTGTAGGGCTATTTCCGTACACATGAAGCCTTTCCATACAGATCTAAATCCAAGAGAAAATTTGATGTTTATAAATCAAATCTGACTGTTGTGTTTTTTTTGTAAAGACAAATGGGCAAACCGTATGCAAAGCTTGTAGAGTCATTCACCAAAAACTGTGATTAACTCGTACTCTGCGTTCACCTTTGATTTATCATTTCGTTTTTTAACCTTTTGTCTTACCTTTTTGTAGTCTTCAAAAATCCATGCTTCATATTTGTGTTCGTAACATGAATAAATGTGCAAAATGTTACATCCGTAAGACGTTCATATCAAGTATCAAGTTTTCAATTCACTTTCGCAAAAAACTATTTTGTGAATCCTAGTATCTCAACTATTGCATCTTAGATCTGTAGGCCTATACAGGTCGGACAAAGCATGAATCAAATATTCTCTCTGTCTGTGTAACATGTCCTTGTACATTTTGAAAGTTTTGTGTAAAATGAGGAGCGAGGGCTGGAGGTGGAAGTTCTCTTTATCAGTGCTATCAGAAAGGCCAGGTCTCCAGCTCGCACCTCTAATACCCACATATACACAGCCCAGGGCCTTCAAATTGGCTGTGCACGTCCAGAGGCAGAACTCAGCATCTTGAGAAAATGCATCTGCCAGGACACAGAAGCCCTCTTCAGGTCTGCACCTTTGATCCTTAAGAGACCCCCGCCCCATAGGTAGTGGTATCAGAGTAATTGAAGATCATTACCAACCCACAATGCAACCCTCTCAGCGACCTTCTCCTTAATGGAAATGAATTGTACGGCACAAAACAGCAGCAAATGGAAGCCAAGAGGCACAGAGGGCAAGGGCCTTCTTCCAAATTGAAATGAAGTGGAAATATCCTGTCCGCGGTGCCATTGGTTAGCCAAGAAGCCGAAACGAGTGAGATTACTGGCTTACATTTGTAGCTCCTCAGTGTTTTTGTTTTGTTTCACTGAAGTGGGGTGGCATACGGGGGCTTGTATGCACACTTCAAAAGAATTTGTAACAAACCTAATTCATCTGAAGCGTAGGATGAGCTGGTAAGAAAGATGAAAGATGAAAGTGAGTTGGCATGGAAACAGAAAGCACGTCGGGCTGCTGGCACACAAAAGGGCTGCCTGTGTTGCATGTTGCATTTCTGCGGGAAGTGATCCAGAGAGGCTTTAAGTGCTATCATGACCTTACTGACAAAATTAGCCAATTATAACTAACTAGGGGGTTCAATTTTTACTTTGGGGCCGTGTTATCTTGTTTTCCCCTATTTTTATATCCAATCTAGAGCATGGAATTAACATTTGGTACATAGTATTTTTCTTCTCACATTTTTGTCAGCTGTTTTAAGTGTTGGTGGAGCACACACACCTGATGTATTCATTTCAGCACAGATCTACTGTCGCTGTGATTGAAGTCAGCGAGGGGAATTCCACAGTTTGTGCACAGACCACCTCTGCTGTGTTGGAAGAATACTTTTAACATGTATTTATTATCAAAATGCTGTTTAAGTGTATTTTGTAATGTAGTATTCTTCACATTTAGTAATTCCTTTAAGTTTTGGATGGAATAGGAAATTGTGAAAAATGTGGTGAAAGTAACTTGTATAACATGTGACTAGTTATCTAGTTAAATCAACTAATTAATGTAAAGTAGTATTCTAAACAAATATTTTCTGTGTTACTTACCGACACACTGTGGCAGATTTATACAGTCTGTATTGGGGGATGTGAGGATCTGTGCAAAAGTTTTTTGCAACTGCAGCAGCATTAGTAAATGAAGTAAGAAGAAGATGAAAGCACAAACACATTTCCAGAAAAGCAAACTGTGTGGAGGCTGTAGCCCCTGAACATTTGTGGTGAAACAAAGAGCAGTTCTAAACAGGTAAAGCGCCAGGACACAGTGTTTACCGTTTCATGTTTGTGTGTGAGCAGAACAGTTTGATCTTCCTCCTGTATATCCTGCAGTGTCACAAACACAATGCACTGTCTCTAGCTTCAAAGGCCCATCGGTGACAGGTTCAGGGGGAAAGATCAAATATTCATTTCCAAAAGAAATTTCAACTAAATACAGTGAAAGGAGGAAAAATGTCTGATGTGTCACCTCCACAGGAGAGAGCTTGCTTTGGGCTCCTTTTTGTGCTTGTTTTATTTCTACACAGTTGTTCAATAAGTTCCTAAAATAATGTAAGCTTGACAGACAAAGAAAAGCGATTGGAAGTCTGACTTCAATTATTCCTTCCATCTTAGACTTCTGCGTCAGCTCTGTGGAGCCAAGCGTGTATGTGAACCAGCTCCATTTGTTCTGTGAGTAATTAAAACTTTTCAGTTTGATGCTTGTTATGGCGCTCTTTGCTCACATTACATTAACCATCCCTTTTTCTACATACCATCCACCACACATCCCAGTGGGCTTCTCTGGAACGCCTGCAGAACAGCTAATTGATTTAAACTGCATTAATGGGACACAGTGCATGTCCTTCCACCCATGCTCCCGAAAGCCCTCATGTTTGTGATTATATTTGATATTGATGATTCCAACACATGAAAGCCGTTTTATCATATCATCCAAACAGCTCTCCCCTGCTTTCTTGTTTACACCAGAAATCCCATATAAAGCTTAAGCACACAGCACAACACATGCATGCATAAACGCAACAACACTTTGAACAGCACTCACGTCTTCTCTCCTCCCTGCACCGCTTCATGACAGAGCTCCTCGACGCTCCCCTGCATGAGGACGCTCCCCTAAACATGGGGGTCAATGTTTAGGATAAAATGCCTTGTGTGTTGTTGTTTTTTTCCTGAGAAAATGTTTATTTTATTTTATTTTGTATAACATCCCATGGTAGCCAATTAAGCTTTTAACTCTTTAATGGTTTCCTCAACAATTTGGTTGATCACTTTTTGAGTCGCTATATCTACTTGAGGATTGGAACTAAAATCTATCTCTTTGGGTCATCTCACTTGGTTTAGCCACTTTTACCATCAGACTGCATCTCAACCATTGAGTAAAGTGCGAAAATATAGGCCTATTCAATAAAAAGAATATGGTTCAAAACAAAATTAAATTAATTTCAATGCTGCAAATTAAAAGTAAAAATATTATTGGGAGCCACTAAAACATATTTTTGTCATGCTTGACATAAGTATTACCAGTACTTACTATTTTACAAGGAAAGTTTGGATGAGGATGTTTAATGCAGGTTGTCAAGAGCATGAAACCACTGTAAAAACTAGAATTGATAAAAACCTCGGCCCTTCTTGCGGTGAGGTTTTGAGGTCCCCAATTGGTTGACATCAAACTCGGGAGGTACGTAGATGTTTTACTTCATGGCAATTAAAAACTTTTCAAGCTGATGATAAAGTTATGCCTAATGCCGAACCTCTTGCGCGTTATATCACTCCTTGTTCCCGTTCCATTATGTTTGAGACTGGCGGAGCGTTCGGGGGAAGCGGAAAGGAGACCAGCCGGCACATGTTGAAAGGCATGGCTGCTCTTTAATGTGGCTCCAGCATCGGCAGTCCTGGGCCTAATGAGGTGCTCTGTAGCTCTGCCTCGTACCCATCGCCTACATACACAGAGATAAGCACGCACAACCGCCAACCCACACCCTTCAAGATCATTAAGGAGATGCTCCCAAATCCCTCTAGGGACCGACACAGAAGGCGAACAAAAGAACCAGGGCTCCAAGATTGGCACTCTTGAGTTTGGGTGAAGTAGAATTTGGTCGGCAAACTGAAGCTGGCCTGCGAAGACTTTGTACGCGTTGACACAGTGGATGATTCACCTGCGTAATGTGTGAAAAGAGCAATGGTTTGTTTAGTTGAATCTCCTAAGTAATTGCCAATCATTACACAACAAAAGGGTTGTGGGTTTGATTCCTGATGAAGCTTCACTTGTTTGCATCTTCCAGGAGTCCAGGCCTAGAGCATCTAGCATGTTTGACATGCGGCCTGTGGGTCAAATGCATCCCTCAAAATAGTTATTAGAGGCCCCTGACATGTTTTCAATTATTCTTCCAATTAACTTGCTACATTGCTCATAACAGGTTAATATCTCTACCATGGCTAGTCATACATAATCCTAAACATTGAACTCAAATAACAATAACAGAGGGACACATGATTTAGCACAGAGGGCCGCAATTGGCCCATGGGCCTGAGTTTGAACATGCCTAGTATAAACAATTAAGCACAAAAAAGATTGAAAAGATTTTGTTCAAACAAGCTTTTCACAATGAAAGAATTGAAACAATGAACAAAAAAGATTTTATTTCAAGAGACTACAGTTTCATACAATGTTCCCAATATTTGGCCTGCTGGATTGAATTTGCATATTTCTGTTCTGCGGTTGAAGGGCAAACTACTCAACAACTGTTTGTCTTTGAAATTCTTTTGAGTATAGATGTAAAGTAACTTGAAAAACTTTTAAATGTGCAACAATATTAGAAAGATATTAATCCTGTAACTGTCAATTGTAACGGCTCACAACAACTAGTTTGCATTAATGTCGCTGCCAGGTTGCACCAGCAATCATCATCATGTATATGTCAGGCTGCAACTTACAACAACTCCAACAAAAAAAGGCAAAAGTTGGTGCAGCTCTGGTTGGCGTTTGTCCCTGCGTGAGTCTGTGTGAGTATGTGTCAGTGGTGGCTTGTGACAGCGGTGTACAGCCCAGCCAACCCGATGAATAATCCACAACACCATCAAAGGCTTGTGGAGAGAGGAGCCTGGGCCATGACAGTGCCGGCAGACCCCCTGGGGACTGCTCCATGGAGGAGAAAGAGGAAGAAATGGGGAAAATGACAGGAGCAGTGCACAGCTCAGAGAAGGGCAAATTGGGAAGATTGGGGTGAAATGAAGAAAAGCAATAATATGGCGAGATAATGTGGGAGGCAATTTTCCCTCGAGTGTTTAGGGGCAATGCCTTAGGGAAGAGGAGACAAAACATATTAGATAGATTCAAAGAAAGCCAATACCCAAAGCTGAAATAGTTAAAGTTGGGTTTTTAAGTTATTTGTATAATATATGTAAATATAAATAATATATAATATTCTATATAAAAACATGGAAAAATTAAAATATTTAAGCTTCTGACTTTATTGAATAGATGTATTATATTATTTGGATAGGGTAATAGGTATATTCTTCTGCTCTGGTCCTGACCAAGCTGAGCATCAACATCTGGAGACGGGTTCCAGGGGCTGTACTATGGTGACCACTGCTCCTGACAGAGACCCTAGTGGCATTGCAGGATGGGTCAACTGCAGAGGACAAAGATCCCTATGGGGATAAATAAAGTGCACATTTATTGCTGCTTAAGCCAGTCTTCAGCGTGGGAGAGACACACCTGAAGCCCCGACCGCAGTGGTGACCTTTCGGGCTTAATGGTGCAAGCATGTACCAACGACCACTGGCCATTGATTTGATTGGGCAGACATCTTGGGTCGCCAGGGTTTATTATGTGCGTGTGTGTGTATGTGTGTGCTTTGTGTGAGGTTGAAGAGGGGTTACAAATGTTCTGTCTTTTTGTTGTGTTTGAAATAACTGCATTTGACAATGATGATTGTAAGTCACCCGAGAAGTACACTACACGTTTGCTGTAGTACAAATGCCTGTATATCCATCCAAGCCCATCTCTTTTGCTGCACAACCCCTGCCTTAGCTGACAGCTGGCCCCATGCCCACAATGGAGTGGCTTCCCTGCATCCCTCACACCAGTCTCTCAGATCAGGAGCCAACTTTGCCACCACCGCCCTGCCTTGGAGGTCAGCCTCTCTGCCTCCGCTCTCTCCTCGGTCCCTTGAGCCGCCATGCCCCAACCTCCCATCCCCAGCCTCCCACAGCCCGCTCTGTAACCCCTGGCACCACTGCTGCTGCTTCCTCCTGCCCGCTCCACGCCGATCGACAGGATGCTCACCGCAGAGGTTTTGTTCTGAGATGGACGTGTAATTGACCCAAGACCACGGGTGTCTCTGTGCTCACCAGGATGAATGAAAGTGTGTGAAATGGTGAAACTCTGAAAATCAGAATATTGTTCAAAAGTCCATTTACAACTAATTCAATTTACAATGTCAAACTAATTTATGACAGACTCATTAAACACAGAGTGAGTTTATATCAAGCCTTTATTTTTTATACTTTTGATAATTATGGCTCAAGGCTTGTAAAAAAAACCACTCAAAACTATATGTAATATATATGTGTGTGTGTGTACGTATACAGGCAGCTCACTTGTTTGTGAAGAAGTCCCTGTGGTCCTGTGTGTGAAGCAAATGTGAAACTACAGAGAAAACATAGTGCATTTAATTGGGCTGCAGTAATATGATAACTTGCAATGCATGCAGTAAACCCTGTCCGAAAATCAAATGTTACAAATGAACAAAAAGTTACGTGAATGCGTTTGCCAAAATTGTGCTAATGACGTGTGTATGATTGTATGATACAATTACATTTGCAGATTTTGAGTAATAAGCCAAAGCTTTTGAAAGCCCCCTCTGCTCAATTGGCTAAAGTGCCTGCATGTAGATTGTGACCAGTGTGGTTAGACTGGTTTGGGAGAAACTCTGAATAGTCTGTTGGGTTTTATTTATTGCACACTCTGTGGCCACGCCGTAGTATGAATGTATAAACACCCTGCTGTATGCGTGATTATCAAATCTTTTCACCAACCAGCCCTCACTGGCACCATACTTCACCTCCTTTCACATGCAGATCCTGCGATCCTCCTTTGTCTATAAAATAATCTCATTTGGATCTGCTCCCTCTGTACCTCTCTGCACGAATTGAACTATCACATGTATGAACATAGATAAATACAATAAAAATTCAGCTCATAATAGTATATTATTTAAATTACAATAATATATTATTGGTATTACTACAATTTCCTTCCCTTGTGTGTTTAAATAATTCACAGTTCTCCTGCCTTTTTGTCTCATTCTCTGTCCTCAAGAAGAGCTATACATCAGCAGGGGTCTGCTTTCATCATCGGCCCCATGCATTGCTCACCATTTTTTCCCCGTCTTTCATCTCACGCACAATAAGTCAGGAATCATGGCGACATTACGCAACACTCTGTAACACCATTACTTCATTGTCACGTTTGAAAAAAGACTTGTTACGATGTCTTGTAATCCAATCAAATGTTAAAATTGAAAAAGAAAAAGCAACTGCCAAACAAACCCTGCTGGCCATCTTTAATTATTTCATGCCCCTTTGGTTTGCGCATCGGACGACACGGATCATGGAGGAGATATGCGAGTGATTGACAGCCTCAAACCCATCCCATAGGAGCTCATTAGGCTAGCCGACTAAAAGCTATGGGCACGCATGCTGCTGTCTTCCTCTGGTCCCTCCTTTTAGTCCTACATTCAGTAAAGTTGGATAAAGAAAGCAGTGAGTAGAGTGAACTTATTGCGCTCTTATCTCATCTGATCTGAGGCTCAGCCCACTGAAAGTTTTTTGGGCTTTCATTTTTTTCTCTCTCTTTTAGCTTTTCCTCTGCTCTTCTAAGCCCATATGACTCTTTTTGCATTTGGTTTGAGAGGATGTTCTCTCCACTTGCTGGCTGTCTCTTGCGTTCTCTCGGCGTTCCTCTATGGGCCTCTTTGCTCCCATCGCCCTGTGTGAGACGCCTGGTGCAGTGGTGCGGGTTCAGACGAGCCCTTGAAGTGGTGGCTCCTCCGAGGGTACTTTAAAAGGCCATTTCATCATGTTCATGAAGCAGCGCTGAGACCCGCTCACTATGACTTGTGAGAAACTAGTAATAACTCCTTGGAAAGTTTTCTGCAGCAGTGCTGTTACCCCCAAAACAAGCTCATAGTTTTACAGTGTTTACTCTTTCAGACAACGGCATTTCTTTTTGTTTCCTGAACTATCGGCCATCGCCCTTAACCTCTGACAGTCAAACCAACGTGTTGGATGACCGATATATCAAGTAGTAGTATATAATACAATAATAATGCAATGGTTTTATAATGTGCTTTTCTAAATAGCCCAAAGACACATGGCATTTTTAGTTCACTCAAATGCCATGAGGTGGTAAATGACTAATGTAGCCACAGATGACCTGATAAAAACTGAGAGAAGTGAGGCAAATAGTACCATTGACCACTCCAACCAGAATCTAATATCCTGGTTGGAGTGGTACTAATATCCGGGTGAAGTGTCTGCCAACAACAGTTTTGAACTTTACAGCTGTCCTGCTGTGGCAACTGGTCTCCCATCATAGTAAAAAACAAGGAGCTGCCTTGCTTAGCTTCTGAGGTCTGCTGGATCAATCGTTCATGCTGGAAGCGCCATAGTAGTCATTTATCTCTTATGTACAAAAGACAAAAATATATTGGATATTTAGTTCCAACTCTTTCAGACACAGGCCCAAACACTCTCTGGTCCTCTCCCTCATCACTTGCTCTGTGCTGAGGGCATCACTCCCTTACCTCCATGTACTTCTTTAGAACTTTTTTTGAGTGATTTTTGAACATGATTATGTTTGAACATGTTTTGAATCAGAGCAAGTTGTTCCAAAGAGTAACTCCACCACCCACTGAAATACACAGTGGTCTTTCCTATTTACATTAATGGAACTCAATGCCCTATGAAGGCTTGCAACTTAATATGTGAGACTATGGTATGATGGCCCTCATTTTAAAGCTTATTTGTTCAGGAAAACAACCACGACATATAGTTCATTCCAACCTCAATACTCTATTGGGGTTGGAATAGAGTTAATTCATTTATTTTTTAAACAACAACAAAACTTTAACGTTGGGTCCAGTTCTGTTTCAATCATAGACTGTAAATATTAACGGACAGAGTCACGTTTATCTCCGCCGTTCTAACAAATGGGCCAAAAAATGTGCTCTACTGGAACTATCCAAAATGGCCGCGAGTGGTCCCGCCCACGAGAAAATTGTGAAAAAACGCATCTGCGCATGCGTCAGCCGGCGCAACTCCATTCATTTGAACGAGAGACTTCAAAAATTCACAGCGAGTAAACTAGAGTGGTCCAAAAAAATCCACCCCCCTCAGCATTGACACACATGTGGAACGGAGCTTTGGGCCAAGAGCCAACTTTTGGACCATCCTGTAAAGTTTTTGAGAGGTCTGCCAATGCTATATGTTAGCATTGGCTAATTCTACTTCTGGGTCCACCCCCATTGGCCCGGGGTGGTATTGCAAGCATGTCAGCGCACGTCATTTTGGACACTTTTGAGCTGGGACCCGCCCCCACTGGTTTCAATGCAAAAAATGTGTTTAATAACATTAACATTACCACCAACCTCCATCTGGCTTACCTTTCAATAAAAGTCCATAATCATTAGCCATTTTTCAGGCAAAAATCTTCATTAGCCACAGAAACCCAAATTGTCAACCTCTTCTTTTGACGTGTGGCTAAAACTATGATATCACGGGTGGGTCTCTGGTTTAATAACCATATTATAATTTGTTTTTTTCCAAATTCCAAGATTGTGTGATTGCATGGCAGTACAATCACACCTGACAAATTGCCAAAACAAATTTGGAGTTGCAGAAGTTCCTGATATTAGCGTGGAGAGATCTGAGATCAACTCCATGCAGGTCTGCTTTTGATGTCAAAAAAGTAGAATTTTAAAAAATGTCTTTCAAACAAAATGATAAAGGTCTAATTTATTATTCTGTATGTGTTTTTTGTCCCTGGCCCAAAAAGTCTATTGGTGATTGTTGCCTTTGATTGTTCAAGCAGCATTGAACCAAGGGAAACTAAACAATAGAGATTCTTAAAATAAAATAGAAAGATTAGAAAAGTCTAATGCGTAAATCCGTTATATCCACTGCTTTGAATTAATCATCTTTTTTTTTGTAGAATTCTTTGGAACCTCCTCTCTGTACCATGCCTCATAGTGCATATTTGTGGCTAATCGTTTTCCATGTTGACTACATATGCTTACTATTAGGCATTCAAGGAAAGGAAAAGTGACTTACAGAATCCTGGCAGCCATAATTATGTTGGCTTGTAAGTTGTAGCCCAAATCCTAGTGTTTTGGTTTTTGGGAATATGGAATTGCAGGCCTCAAAAACCACATTTTCTCACCAAAATTGTAGGGCAGAGGGAGAGGAGCATGAGACACCTACTTTTAGACAAGCACTGTCCCGACTTCAAGGGTTTTTGAGGATTTAGGCAATTATGACATGCCAATTAGACAGAGCAGGATTTATGTGCACCACTCTAATTCTCTCCAAACCGGGGTCGGCAGGCCATGGCACAACACGGTTCAGACAGTAGCCATCATCAAATTGCATGAAATATATATGATTTTATTTTACCAAGCACAGGAAAATTGCATGTCGTATTGTTCTATTAAGGATTGCGATTTGCTTAATACCTTCAAGAATTTAACAGAATTAAGGTGTGTCAACTTATGTGGTGTTTACACGGAGATGCTGCGACAGTAAAACATTAGAGTTGGGTATCGGTTTGGTCTCCTGTTTACATGGAGACAGTGTTTCAGGGGGGTGAAAACGCAAGCATTGAGAAACAGCCTCAAGAGTGGAACAGAATAGTTTTGCTGCGTGGCAAACCTCTCCACTTCCCTGCGCTTACATTTGGACATGCGCAGTAGCCAAGAACAAATGTAAAAAACATTGTGCTCTCGAAAACGGCTTTACAGGATGGTCCAAAAGTCGGCTCTTTGCCCAACGCTACGTTCAAAATGTGTGTCAGTGCAGAGGGGAGTGTTTTTTTAGCATCTGTGGACTTTTGAAGGCACTCGTCAAATGACTGGGGCTCATGCCGGCTAACGCATGAGCAAATGGGTTTTTTCAAAAATGTCCTGCCCCGCGGCCATTCTGAAACTGCCCACAGAAAGCAAAAGTGGTGGCACATTAGTTTCAACGGCAGAGATATGCGTGACTATGCCCGTTTAATATGGTCAAAACCATGCAAAGCTGTAGTTTCAGTTTCCATTTTTGATGCTGCTGTTAAATCCATAATGATGTTGGTGCATTCTCTCACATTACTCCGTTTATTGAGGAAGTGGTTCTACTGCTGGGGGTCACGCGTGTCATGTTGTAACGTTCCACTGCCCACTACTGGCCGAGCACTAGAACGACATTGTTTTCCGCCATTGTCTAAACGTTGTGCACTTGAATAAGGAGCCTGGTCATTTTTGCTAACTGCTTTGCAGCATCTGTCTAAACAGGGCCTTAAATTGTTCAAACATTTATGAAGGAAATACATTTTAAACACTAGTTCTAGTCCAAATTCTTCATGATTTTTATTTTTTACAAGCCATGAGGCTTAATTACAAACATTGTAACAGATAAATGCTTGAAATATCTCACTTTGCACATGGTCTGTCATAAAAATGTCATATAAATTGAATTACAATTAAATAAATGGACTTTTGAACATTATTCCAATTTTACGAGTTCCACAATAGACATTTAACATAACCTTCGTAAAGTAACAGTTTACTGACAGCAAAAGGGGGTCTTCTCCTGATTCCTCACTGCTCACTAAGCTGTCACATAAAACGTACAGAGGATTCCTGAGAAGAATATGGTGTCATGTAAAATAGTGTTTCCTGTGGGGAGCATGCCCTCACAGTGGTGCACACCTGGAGCTGCACATGTGGTCCTCAGGCTGCAGACCACACTCACGTCACAGACACTGCCCATAAACATGATCACTTCATCTACACTATGTCTGGCTTTATTTACAGTATGTTCAGTATTATAGTATATATATATATAGTATATAGGTCATGGGTTCGAGCCCACCATAAGACCTACTTCATGACCCCCACTGATGACTGCTGTCGTTGTGTCCTTGGGCAAGACACTTAACCCCACTTTGCCTGAAGCCCCCACTGGAAGATCTCAGCTCCTGTGGACTCACCACCTGCAGGACGATCAGTGAGGGGCTGGTGCTTTGTTTACTGGGTGCAGCTCTGACTTTTGAAGAATTTTCTAATTTGACATTTTTGGGTTCCTTCTCTTTGCATTGAATTTGACCAGTTTTACATCATTACATTAAATGTACTCATTTA